GGGTCTACCGGGGTTCAGGGTGGGTTAGGGGTTAGGGTCTACCTGGGTTCAGGGTTTAGGGTTGAGGGTCTACCTGGGTTCAGGGTTTAGGGGTTAGGGTCTACCGGGGTTAGGGGTTAGGGTCTACTGGGTTCAGGGTTTAGGGTTAGGGGTCTACCTGGGTTCAGGGTTTAGGGGTTAGGGTCTACCGGGGTTCAGGGTTTAGGGGTTAGGGTCTAGCTGGGTTCAGGGTTTAGGGTTGAGGGTCTACCTGGGTTCAGGGTTTAGGGGTTAGGGTCTACCGGGGTTCAGGGTTTAGGGGTTAGGGTCTACCTGGGTTCAGGGTTTAGGGTTGAGGGTCTACCTGGGTTCAGGGTTTTTTGTTTAGGGTCTACCTGGGTTCAGGGTTTTTTGTTTAGGGTCTACCTGGGTTCAGGGTTTAGGGGTTAGGGTCTACCGGGGTTTAGGGTTTAGGGTCTACGCCTGCCGGGCTTAGGGTTCTACCATGATATTGGATTTGGAGCTCCGGGTTCAATAAGAGGCATTTTCCCAAAGGGTCCAAGTATCATTATAGTATATACTTATAGGGTTTAGGGTTTAGGGTTTTGGGTTTAGGGTTTAGGGTTTAGGGTCATTATAGTATATACTTATAGGGTATTTTGGGGGTCTGAGTATATACCATAATGATACTTGGACCCTTTGGGTTTGGGATCGGTACTGAGGGTTCTGTAGTGAGGCGTAGTGAGGATCCCACAATCACAAGGGTTTCAAGAGTTTCTCTAGGGCTTCGACAAGGGCAACGCTAAGGGTCCACAGGGCCCAACAATCAGATAGTTGGATTTCGGATAGTAGGTAAGTAGGTTAGTACTTGCTAAAGTTATGAGTAGTGCTTGGACCCTGAGGGCTAAGTTTTAGGGTATTTCTAGAGGGGTCTATAATGGTACCGTAAGGGCTTGATTAGGGGGTTTTCGGCTATTTGCTGACCCCGGGCGAACAAGAACAAGAGCGGCACTTTGAAGAAAGATGATACTCAACCGCAAAAGCCCGAAGCCTTAAAGCTTTAGCCGGTGCAGCTCAAAAGCCCTGAAATTCCAAATCCCTACGTGCTTAACACAAAAACACCAAATCGAAAACACAAGTCAGAGCTGGAGAGGTTCATTAGCGGCAACCGGTCACCTAGGAGTTCTTGCAACGAGGGTCCTACTCTTGAGGGTCTGTAAAAGAGTCCCTCACCCTCACCCCTGAACCCTAACCCCCACTCCTACATCCTGAGCCCTAAACCCTCAAGCCCCAGACCCAACCCCGAAAAGCGGAGCTATAGAGTGCCGTCTTTGTTTGTCGAAGTCCCAAACCCTAAACCCCTAAATCCTGAACCCTAAGCCCCCAGACCTTCCAAAATCCCTTAATTAAGGAATATACCTTAAATCATATTAGGGATCCTATTATAATTTAAGGTATATTCCTTAATTAAGGGATTTTGGAAGGTCTGGGCCCTAAACCCTAAACCCTAAACCCTAAACCCTACCCAAACCCTAAACCCAAACCCTAAACCCCTAAATCCTGAACCCTAAGCCCCCAGACCTTCCAAAATCCCTTAATTAAGGAATATACCTTAAATCATATTAGGGATCCTATTATAATTTAAGGTATATTCCTTAGTTAAGGGATTTTGGAAGGTCTGGGCCCTAAACCCTAAACCCTAAACCCTAAACCCTAAACCCAAACCCTAAACCCAAACCCTAAACCCCTAAATCCTGAACCCTAAGCCCCCAGACCTTCCAAAATCCCTTAATTAAGGAATATACCTTAAATCATATTAGGGATCCTATTATAATTTAAGGTATATTCCTTAATTAAGGGATTTTGGAAGGTCTGGGCCCTAAACCCAGAGTCCCAGGTCGCAATGGACTTTTTCCTGCAGATGACCGAGCTGAGGGCGCATGAGCAGATGATGTCATCCAACCTTCTCGTGGAGTTTCATGAAGCTGAGCTGGGGTTAAGGGTTTAGGGGTTGAGGATTTAGAGTGGCGGGTTTTGGGTTTAGGGTTTCGAGTTTAAGTTTAGGGGCTAGGTATCTATTTGGGATAACAATTGTTAACCCTTATTGGTTTGATATACAACCCTAATTTTAGATATTTCGGGCGGTTGAAATCAACACCTAGTCAGTGGTTGAGTGTATAGGCATTCACCCTAGACCCTTTGACACCCTTTCTACAAACCCTAAAACCTAAATGTTCCAGAGCATTTGGGGGCTATCTTTAGTATAAGCACCCGTTTGCAAGGTTCCTGAGCAGTACCCTTTTGCCCCTGAACAGATATGAGGGCAAAAGGGTCCGCAAAACCGAATACCCAGAGCCTCCAAAACCCCTTAATTAAGGAATATTCCTTAAATTTTAGAAGGATCCCTAATATGATTTAAGGTATATTCCTTAATTAAGGGGTTTTGGAGTCTCTGGGTGGTAGGAACATGGCTACCCCAGAAACCCGGCTGTGGTCGTCCTGTGAAGTCCGATTCCGCAGCCAAGGAAGGGTTGGGGACGGCCATGTTCCTTTCGCACCAATGGCTGGCAGACCATCATCCTGACCCAAACCATGAGCAACTAAAAGTCTTTCAGGATGCGATGCTTCGTCGTAAACGGTTGATGATATAAATGCTGCAGTACCCATAATAAGGGATATACCCGTAATTCCCATAGTTTAGGGTCCTATACAAGGTAATGCAGGATTTATATCATCAACCGAAAGCAAGCAGGCTTTCACGTTTTACGTTTCGAAAGCGGCGGGGGTGGGGGGTTATTGTGACCCCCCAAAGCCTCCCGAGCTTCGCCTTTAGTTTAGGGTTTAGTCTTGTGGCCTTTAGTTTAGGGTTTGGGGTTTAGTCTTTTGCCGGCAGCTGGACAAGTAAGGATGAGAAACCTGTTGTCAGGCGCCACTCGAGTGACTCTCCCAGTTGCAGCTGAGTTGATCTTTGGCCGCCTCGGTTGCCCCACCGCTGCTGGGTTCTTCTTAAGGGATCTTTTATATAAGTTACCATACTGATAAAAAGGACACCATATTATTTGCCATAGATGCCTATCATGGCAACCTAACTTGAATCCCTTTAATTTAAAAGTTACGATACTAGTAACAAGGAAACCATTTTATTTACTGTAGATCCCTATGATGGTAACTTAAAGTAAATCCCTCAACAAGAACCGGTTTTGTATAAGTTACCATACTCGTATAATAAGGAAGCCACATTAACATTATGTATTATACATCCCTATGAAATCCTAAACCCTAAACCCTATGATGGTAGCTTAGAACCCAGGCTGCCGACTTCAAAGCCCGCCCGCTCTTCGTATGGTATGACTATCTGTGTTGTCCGCAAGGTTCCAAGGGTAGAAGGAGGGACCCTTAAGAAGGACCCCCAGGTATATACCCTTAATATTATATACCCATTATATACCTTTTATATACCCTTAATGTAGCCATTATATTATATAGCCCATTATAGGGTAGGTGTCCCCATTAAGGGTCCCTCCTTTTCCCCTTTGAAAGGTGTGTCTTCGACTGCTGCGCAACAGCGACATGCCGCCATTCGCAGCATTCCTTCCTACGTCGCCAAGTGTGACTGGGTTGTCCTTTGGGATCTTTTTAATTTCCCCTACTACTTTGTAGAGAACCATGATAGTAGGGGCTTAAAGGACAACTCAGGTGAGTACTTTGTCATCCTTTGCCCAACCGTTGAACGTGCGGACAAGAGCGAGGTGCTTGGGCTTGCGACCTGGGCAGCTCGAGGAACGTCCGAGCATCAAAGCATAAAGCAAAAAAGGGTTCCGCTTAAAACCAGATGGAGGAAACATCAGAAAATTCGCTGGATCAGTTCAAAAACTAACACAAGATCGTGCAAGAAAGCCAAAATCCACGGGCGTCTGGCTTCTTGGCTTCTGAGCTCCGGCCTGTTTCGTCTCTTTGGCTCTGTTGGCTTTGGCTTCGGCGGGCTCCGCCTCTTCTTGGTTTCCTGGCTTCGTGGCTTTTTTCGGCTTGCTTCCTAGCCGCTTCTGTGAACTTCTTAGCCTCTCAGGCTTCTCATCTTGGCACTTTCGTTGTGGGTAGTTGTCAAAATTAGGGTCCCTTTTTGGGTACCCTAAATAGTAGGTGCCATGTTAAACTAAGGACCCAAACAGGGACCATAATTTTGACAACCACCCTTGTGGGTTTTTCTCAGCTCTGCTGGTTTCTGGCTTCGTGGGTTTCTTGGTTTTCTTGGCTTTCAGGCCCTTTTTGGCTCCTCGGTTGGCTTCTTGTCCCTTGCTTTGGCTTCCTGAGCTTTGGTGGCTTCTGGCTCCTCCTCCGCTCCTGCTGCACACGTCGGAGCAATGAGCAAGGGTACTGCGACTGCTGCTGCTACTACAGCTACAGCTACAGCTACTGCTACTGCTACAGCTACTGCTACTGCTACTGCTACTGCTACTACTACTACTACTACTACTACTACTACTACTACTACTACTACTACTACCACTACCACTACCACTACCACTACCACTACCACTGCCACTGCCACTGCCACTGCCACTGCCACTGCCACTACCACTACCACTACCACTACCACTACCACTACCACTACGACTACTACTGCTACTACTGCTACTACTACTACTACTACTACTACTACTACTACTACTACTACTACTACTACGTTATTCGAGGTTGCTTTTGTTGTGTTGATCCGTTCTTTCACGTGGCTTACTGTTGTCGTGTTTGAGATGGGTTTAGGGTTTAGGATTTAATTAGGGTCTAGGGCATAGGGTTAGTCTCATTTCCTTTTGTGATCCGGCAGCCCTGCGTGAGGATGGTGCCGAACTGAACGACTTGCGCGGGAGCTCTCGGCGAGGAAGGGGGGATACACCATCGTCGTTGAGTGTTCGAAGCAACAGTCCCTGTATCTCGAAGTCTTACGATTTCTGGACACACCCGGGGGCGGGGACTGGAGCCACGAGTCTGATAAAGCCGCTGTTGGGAGTGCTCTTGTGCCAATGGTGTGGAACAAGTTGTTGTTCTTCTTGGAGCGCCGCGATTTTCATGGCTACAGGTTGGGCGCAAAAAATAAATAGGGATAGGGACATCCCATACAAACCCTCTCGTAATGAAGCCCAATAAGGTAGGGATGTCCCTAAAATACCCTAAACAGGTTCTTATTGAACCGGCAGGGGGCATGCTGTTTCAGGGGCCTCCCTGTGGAGCCTGTGGACGGCTTGATTCCTGAATTCGTGACGGCGCCTTGCATCGCCCATACCTATCCTTTAAACTTTTTGGGGTCTTATGGTTTAGTATTACGGTTGATGATCTAAATCCTGCACTACCTTAATTAAGATTAAGGACTCTAAACTATGGGAATTGTGGTATATCCTTATTATGGGTAATGCAGGATTTATATCATGAACCGTAGGATGCCCAGTGCGTTCTTTATACAGTTACCCACTTCCAAAAAGGGAGCCCTTTTTAGTACTAGGTTACTGGGCCCTAAGCCCCTAAACCCTAAACCCTACATCCTATTTCTGTGGCTTATTGCGGTAGCAAGGTGCTGGATCCTTTCGAGGACGCTGCAGCTTTTGCTGTGGCATGGTTCCTTGGCTGCTGTTGGACACTACTCTGCCCTGGGTTGTCCTTTGGGACCTTTCTTTATTTCCCCTACTATTTTGTAGAGAACCATAATAGTAAATGGTTTTCAAAGGGCTTAAAGGACAACTCAGTGCCTTTTTGTCATGATCCTAGGTTCCTGAATAGTACCCTTCTGCCCTTACAGGAGCCTAGGATCGCGCATGCAGCAGACCCAGCAAAGACGGAGACTGATCATGTTCAACACGCTCAAAAACCCATAAGGTCTGCTTCCAAAGCACTCTGAAGCCCGAACTTTAGGAAGCCACTCAGTACTCCTCAGTTGAGGGTTATACATTAAGTATCCTCAAGTTATTTCAGGAATCCCTTTGTAATTTATGGTCGTTTTTTTCTTTTGTCAAGCGTCTATCTAGGCGACCCGAGATCCTAAACAGCTAAACCCTCTCCGGCGACATTATCCCAGGTTCCTGCATCAAAACGGCTTCCGAACAGTTCTTGAACGGGACACAGCAGGTTGGTCCCCCCTATGCTATGCTGTCATCAGAGGCGATGTGGCTCTTGTCCAAGGGCTCTTGGAGAGGAGGGCCGATCCCAATGATCCTTCGGTGCTGGGAGAGTAACATTTTATTGTTGAGCACTCTAGGGCCTCTAGGGGTTTCACGGCTTCAGGATATACCTGTTCGTTCACAGGGCTAGGCTTGATTTGAACCAAGAAGTAGACTATGGTAGACTGCTTTTCCTTATGCAGTACAAGCAAAGCAAGGATCATGTCACGAAGGCGATGGGCTCTATCCTCCCTGGACGTGTGCCGGTCCTTGCGCTGGCAGCTCATTTTCACCACAACCAGGAAGGGCCCGTTCACGATCCGAGAAAATTTCAGGAATAGACCTTAAAGCACTGCCCCATACAGAAATAGCCTAATCCGCCTATGTTATGAAGATTATTCAACTATGACTGAGTGGGGGCCGTACCCAACATAGACCATAGATTCCGGAAGGAGCTCCTCTAAATGCTCTCTGTTCTCTTTAGATCGTAGATGCTTCCTCATTTTGTGACACTAAAGTTGCTTCCAGAAGGACCCCAGTCTAGAAGAGTACGAAGTCATACAAAGCCCACATATCGAGACTAACCCAGAGGTCATGGAGACATTGATTGCAGCACGAGCCGGTATTGATCGTGCTGACGCAGCTCGGGCCACCCCCGCGCACTGGGCCAGCCTTTCCAACAATGCCGACGGCTTGCGCATGCTCTGCGAGGCCCGTGCCGACCCTCTCAAGCAAAACGTTGTGGGAATGCACGTATTCCATACAGCTTGTTGCAATGCAGCTATCGACTCCATGACGGTGACTAGGATGCCCAGAAGTACCCTTGTTCCCTTTTTGTAGGCCCAGTTTCCTTATAAAGTTACCGAGTGCCAAAAAGGAGCCTCTGTTATTCCTAGGTTACTGGGCACGCTAAACCCTAAACCCCTAAACCCTAAACCCTCTCTTTTTTTCTAGGTTACTGGGCATCCTAGGTGATGTTAGCCCAGAATCCTGAGACGAGCCTAAGATTCGGCCTTCACTTTGCTGTGATGTTCCATGGCGGCCACGAGAAGCCGATTCAGTGGCTTATCCATGCGAACCTTGCCCTAAGCCCTAAACCCTGAATCCTTGCTCTGCCAGTGGGCACTTGCTTTTTTGGGGGGGTTTATTTTTCGGTTCCTTATATCAAAAAGAGCGCCCTTTTCATTCCTAGGCTGCTGGGGGGATCCTAGGAAAGCCGACCTCGAGGAGAGGTTCGAAGTTCAGAAGAAGCATCAGCCGTCTTGGTGGGTTCTGATCCAGATGTCGAGTTTAAGGCGCCCCGACTCCGTGAAGTCCGTCTGTGGTTTAGGCTTTAGGGGTTGAGGGTTTAGGGGTTACAGTGAAAGCCAGAAAGTTGGGGAGAGAGAGAGAGAGAGAGAGAGAGAGAGAGAGAGAGAGAGAGAAATCGACTCCTGGCAAGGAGACGGGCACCCGCGTTGTCTCCGCCCCGAAGGGTTAAGACGCAAACGGGGCATGGGGCTCCGCAAGCGTCATGGCCCCATGCGAAGCAGAGCAAACGCAGCAGCAGCAGCAGGAAGATGACGGAAGTGTGAAATCAACAGTATGCGATCCGAAAGCCGTGGTTTGATGATTTGCAACAAATCAGGACATCCTCAACACACGGTGCTAGGAGGTAAGCGGCGGGAGTCCTGAGGAGATGGGCCTTGCTGAGCATCATGCTGCTTCCGGCTGTTTAACAAGGGGTGTCAGGAGTAACCCTCCAGCAAGGATGTAGCGTGACGCAACTGTGATCGACCGTCTTATAACCGATGACACCAAGGTATAGCCCGAGCCAACGGGCACCACCACTTCCACCTGGAATAGTACGATATTGCAATGGAGAGTCGCCATGCTGACCTCCACGTGTGAGATGAACTGGTAGTCAGCGAGTGGGGAGCACCATTGCTGCGACCCGGTTGTGGGAGAGGGGAGCACCATTGCTACGACCCAGGTGAGCGGGAGGGCGGGTGGGTGATTGCAATGCGGGGAGCACCAACGCTACGACCCGAAATACAGCAAACGGGGAGCACCATTGCTACCACCCGTGGAAGGGGGGAGAGGGGGTGGGGCGGGTTAAGTCAGGCCGTACCATACCACGAGGAATGTGCAACTTGGTGTCTTCCAATAACTCAGCTGTGTCCTTCCCTCCCAATGTACTTGTATGATGTTATCAAAGCTCCGTCCGTGTGATTCAGCATCCGGTCGCCCCGGTATGACCGACTTCGTGCGGCCGTTTGTTTCCAAGGGCGTATCGAAGACTTCATTCAGCGAGTCGTCGGTAGCTCTTTTCCATCGCTGCCGCTCAGCCTAGATGGAACTGCACAAGAATGTCCAATCTCACCTGTTGGCACTGCTCCCAAGACGCACACTCTCAACAGACATACGTAAGGAACCAGGGCCTTTTCATTCGACTATACCGGGGCAGCATCATGACCACCTGAGAGTAATCAATCATGGCCTTCCTGAGAGTAAAGCATGCTGCATGTAAATGTACGGCACTTTCGCCCTAGTGCAACTGGATGGGGGAAAGGGGGGTGCTCGTCGAGTCGCCAACGACTCTTAGTGCCGCCCCGGGGGTCCACACCCTTTCCAGCACCAGCCCACCCAGCAAAGACAAGCACTAGGCCCCGGGGAGCCAGAAAGTTGGAATATGATTATCCTAAACCCTTTATGGTCAATTACAAGGTATCCGACCCTGAAACCATATGCCAACTTTCTGGAGTTCCCTTTAGGGGTTTAGGGTTTTTAGGCGCTAGGGGTTTAGAGGTCTTGGGATGCCCTGCTTTTGACCTGTACCTCCCGAAGTGCAACCTAGGCTTAGCTAGACCTGGACCCTAAAGCTCTAAGCACTCAACAGCTGAAGCTTCAACCCCAAGAAGCAGACCTTAATCCCCAAATCAGATACTGTAGATAGTTCCCTTAGAATACCTAGCCGTTCAACTTTGGGTTGATCTAGTTTAAGGTTTAGGGGTTTAGGGTTTAGGGCATATAGTTTAGGAGGAATCTGAATGTTTAACCTTTTATTTCTGTGGCATATTGGGGTAGTAAGTTCCAGCCCCGGAATAATTACCAAGACTACTATGCCATATGCCTTAGGGTTCTTCATGCCGCAATACCCACAACCGGATTCTGAGTATTAATGTCCCTATGTTGAACCCAAACCCGAAATCCGTCATACAACCCTTAAGTGAACCTCGAAGTGGAACCCGAAACAAACCCTAGGCCCTCGATGCACAAGCCAAGGCACAGGATAAGCCCCTCCAAATGGACTACACTGGCATATCATCACTCGAAGGCGACTGAGCTTTTGAGTTGGCAAACTTTCAAGTTTATACTGCACACATTGAAATCGGGTTTTGACTCGCAACATTCTGAATTTCGAACCGGTTAAAGCTAACTTTCAACACTGAAGGCTTACATGTTTCTGTGCAAAAAGCTGGGCCAACAAGGCTACCCCATTGATGTTCACCATTCTCACTGGCAATTGCTCGGCAGCCACCCTTCTGCTGAAGGCTGGTGGTAGTAGGGTTTCGCAGAGCAAAGAGCGCAACAAAGAAGACGCGTGATTGGTAAACTGTCTACGTGCACAACAATCACGATCTCCGTAATAGTCCCTGTTGAAGGAGAGGCTTTCAGTAGTATTGAACCAACAACGCCTCCTGGTCCTAAACGCGACTAAACGTTAAACCCTAACCTTAAGCCCTGAAGCCTAAACCCTAAACTTCCTAACCTGAAGGCCCCTAGCCCTCAACCGTCAAGCCGAAGCCCTAAACTGTAAACCCAAAGCCCTAAACCCTTAAACCCTAAACCCTAAACCCCAAACCCTATTCTAATTATTAAGGCCCCTATATCATAGAACCCTCCCTTATAGACTTTAAACTTTAAACTGCTTCAAGGCGGGAGCAAGGACGGACACCAAGAATGCTCGGGGCAAGACGCCTTTAGACCTGGCGGAGCCTCTACTTAAAGGATCATGGGACTTAGTAACTAGGGTTATCATTAGGGTAACTGTACTTACAACTACTTATAACCCCAATTAAGGTACCTATAACCTGACTTACTAAGTCCCATGATCCTCCAAGTAGCTCTTAGGGCTTGGGGGGGTTTCCAGGGTTTAGGGTTTAGGAAGTTTAGGGTATAGAGTTTAGGGTTTAGAGGTTTAGGAAGTTTAGGGTATAGAGTTTAGGGTTTAGAGGTTTAGGAAGTTTAGGGTATAGAGTTTAGGGTTTAGAGGTTTAGGAAGTTTAGGGTATAAAGTTTAGGGGTTTAGGGTTTAGGAAGTTGAGGGTATAGAGTTGAAAAAAGACTTTAGGGTTTAGGGGTTTAGGGTCTAGGAAGTTTAGGGTATAGAGTTAAAAAAGAGTTTAGGGTTTAGGGGTTCAGGGTTTAGGGTTTCATAGAGTTTGGAGCTTGGGTGCCTAAGGGTTTAAGGTTTGGGGTTCAGGGTATAGAGTTTCGGGTTCAATGACGGCCTTAAGGGTTGAGGGCTTGAGGTTTTGGGTGTAGAGTTTAAGGCCTTAAGCCTTATAAGGGTTTAGGGTTTGGAGTTTAGGGTATAGAGAGTTCGGAGTTTAGGGAGGGTTGAGGGTTGAGGGTTTAGGGAGGGTGCAGGGTTCGGGGCCCTAGGGGGTGGCTTCAAGGCTTGAGGCTGTAGGTGTTCTCATATTGGATTTCGATTTGGGAGCAGATTAAAGTTAATTGATTTGGGTGTTGGCGTGGCTTGTGCAAGCCTTGACTCCAAGCGCTAAACCCAAATCCTTGAGCCCGAAAGCCTGCCACCCCAAACCCTAAGCCCCAAATTCTAAGCCCTAAAACCCTAATGTAGGAACCTGGTTAAGAAACCTTGGGCATTTATTAGGTTGCCTTCTATGAATCCTGCTTTTTTGGAATCAGGTTCCTACATTAGTATTGACCACAACCCTCTCTTTTTGATGATGAAAGCCCCTCGAGAAGCCCATTAAGAACCCTCATAGTTTAAAGCCTTAGCTACTGCATTACTAGGTTCTCCCCAGTAGTCCCTTAACAATTTGGCCACCCTTTTATTCCAAGTCATTACGCTTGAGCCTCAGGAGCAGATGCAGCTACCGGCGGCTTTGCTTCAGGCTCTTCGGGGTGGCAGGCCACCTCTTCCCTCTCTTGAAGATCCTCGGCTCCTTTAAGGTGACTAACTATAGACTATAGGCTTCTACAGTAGGCTTCCCTCTAGGTTCCCGTTAAGGGTGCTATAGGCTCTATAGGAGGGTTCCATCTAGAGGAACCCGTGTAGTAGCAGTTCGGGGAGCCCTTAAGGTAAAAGCCAGAAAGTTGGAATATGGATTAATGGTAGGATACCTTATAGTTTACCTTAAAGAGGTTACGATGATGATATTCCAACTTTCTGGCTTCTACTGTAAAGGTTTGGGTTCAGGGATATGCTGGGCCGGGTGCCACTTTAGGCAATCCTTTCACTTCCCTTCCTAGACAAGTTCGGGAGCTTGAAAACACAGCTGAGGATATCAAGTTTCTGCCGGATGCATTTTCCATCTGAATCTGATGCAAGTGCGCAGTTGTTTGCTTTTGACACGCGCAGGCTGTGAAGGCGAAGCAGAGTAAAGCTCTGCATCAAGCCTTGTAACCCACATGGGTGGTTGTCAATGTTAGGGTCCCTTTTTGGGTCCCTAGTATAGTACGGCACCTAATATTTAGGGTACCCCAAAAGGGACCCTAATTTTGACAACCACCCACATAGTTTTTGGAAGTGTCAGGCTAGTTTTTAGCTGGTAGGCAGATAGAAGCTTTGGTGTGTCTGTTTTCTTAAATGGATCGAAAGGCCTGAAACAAATCTCCGACTACGAAGAGTAGTTTCACTTTTATGGCTGGCATTGCTGGCTGCGTTTCTCTCATCGTGGGTAATGTGGGGGCCTTCATACTTACCTATACTATTTTGGGGGGCTCCTTGTTATACGTCTGGTATAATTTTGGGCCCCAAAACCCTATTCTAATTATTAAGGCCCCTATACTATAGTACCCTCATGGATCCCTTATAGTAGCCCCTATAGACCCCTTTAAAGGAACCCTATATTTACCCTACGTTACGCTTCTCTCATCATATTGGGTAAGTACCCCATCTTCGAAGCCTGGTGGATCCCACGGCTTCCTCTTCGTGCGAAGCACCGGTGCCCAAAATCAGCGCGGAATGTGTCCCCGAAACCCTAAAGCCTAAACCCCCATAAGCCCTAAAACCTAAAACCCCCAATCCCTAAACCCCGCTGCACACAGAAAAGGCCGATGCGCTTTGAAAAAAAAACCCTAAATCCCAACCCTTAAACCCTTAAAATTCTGACCCCTTAACCCTCAATCCCCAAACCGGTTTAGGGCTTAGGGCCAAAGCTAAAGGCAGGCGCGTCAGGGTTCCTACATTTTTTGACGCTGGTCTTGCGACCGTCGTCGTACATGAATACTGCAAAGGTCATTTCGAACACCATCATTCCAAACCCACTACGGGGGGATTCGAAAATAGGGAACTCTAATGTAGTACCCTCAATAAGAGGATGCTTATTATAAGAACCCAAAATATAGTACCCCTAATTGTCGGAAACTCCCATACACACCAAACTCTCGACCGAAAGTGAAAACTCCGAAGCCTTACACGATGACGAACTTTAAGTGGCACGAGCCGAACGAGAGAGAAGCCCTGAGAGAAACACCTTCAACCCTAAAGCCCTAAAGTACATACATACGTACATGCATACATGTACATGTGCAAACAAATATACGTTTATACATTTGTGTTCATATCGTAAGTGTATGTACATACACAACGCACGTGTATGTATGTATGTATGTATGTATGCATGTATGTATGTATGTATGTATGTATGCATATTAAGCGCGAGAGGGAGGCATTGTTGATTCGGTTAAGGCTTTGGGGGTTTAGGGTTTAAACTGGGGTTTGGAGGTATCTTTTGTAACTGCTAGGATTGTATATAGGGACTAAAAAGGGAATACCAATACCGTATACCATGATAACCCGAAACCCTAAACCCTATATCTATATTCTTCAACCCCAAAGCCCGAAGCCGTAAACCCCCGAAGATCTCAACTCCTAGCCACTCTAGGCCCTAAAGCACCCGAGAACCCTAAACCGCCGGAGTCGACCTTCGTCTATGGAGCTTACTTGGAGAGTCGGGGGACTTAGTAAGTAGGTAGTAAGTAGACTTATAAGTACCCTAGAGGGGACCCTAAGTGGGGTTATGGACTTATAAGTCCCTAAAATAACCAGGTATTAAGTCCCCCGACCCTCCAAGTAGTATAGCTGAGTGAGTAGAGGTGTAGGGTTTAACATGCGCTTTACAACTTTGGGGGTTGAAAATGTTCACTTCCTCTAGGTTTATGAACTCAGCAGCTAAGAAGAGAGAGAGAGAGAGAGAGAGAGAGATCGATCTGCAATGACTTAGGACATATTGCTGAAACCCTTATCTCCCCTTACAGCCCACCTCCCCACAGTATCGTTAACACTCACAGCCGCAAAACACCCCCCAACAATCCTGGAACCCACAATCCGCCAGAACAAAAATGCACGCATAGTCTACGTTGGAGTTTGACATTTTGTATTTTCCTTATTTGGGTTTATAAGGGACCCTATATATATATATATATATATAGATAGATATAGATATTTTTCAGGGTGTTTAAAGGCCAACCTAGTAATATAGGGGCCGAGATAATTACCAACACCATTTTGGCGGTTCCTTATAATACTTATAGTATAACGGGCTTCGAAACCCTATTCTAATTATTAAGGCCCCTATATTATTGCGCCACAGCCCGGGCCTACAAAAAAACTGCCCAAAAGAACGAAGCATTAGGTACTGCCCCCATACAGTAAGTAAGAGTCTAGGATAGGGCTACTATTAAGGTCCTAATTATGAATACTTTCAACCATTACTGAGTGGGGGCCGTACCCAAAAAGCAGTACAACAAACCTGCCAAGCCGAAATCAAACCCCAACAATACCCTGAAAAAGATCCTGTGGTTACCAACCTAAAGCCCTGAACCCTCTACACCCCACAAGTATTCTTTCCCCTCTATGCTAAGCCCCAAACCCACAATCCCAAACTCGATGCCCTAAGTCCTAGTCCCTCTACACCTCAACCCACCCAAATAGTGCCCTTCTAGAACCCACTCAGGTGGTGGTCCCTGTAGTACCATTAGCTCTCTAACCCTTTACATGAGCCTTGAACCCCCTGCAGCCTGAAACTTCCAGGGGGCGGTCCATTCTTTGGCTCCAAGGTTGCTGCAAGCAGCAGCCGGAAACCCAGTCCTAATATAAGCACTTTTCACAGTTAGAATAAGGGTTTGGGGTGTATTCTGATGCATAAGTGTATAGGGACTACAAGGGGGCTACGCTTGGTAACTATTGCAACCTCTACATCAGAGCACGTTTTCGGGAGGTGGTTGACATTTGATCATATAGGGCTTTACAGGGCGCCGTGCATTGATGTGGCTTCTGTGTCACCGTTGGTAGTCGTGTTTTTGATCGGGTCCAGGGTGTTGTAGGGCTTCTATTATAGGCTGTTACACTTGTGGTTATTGTTGGCGGTGGTGGTGTTGTTGTTGCTGCTGCTGCTCCTGCTGCTATTTCACTTTTTCCAGGAAGGAAAGAACACAGGTTCAATACACTGGCTTCCGACTCAATAGCAATGTTGTTTCCGTATTCCCGAATTTATTCTAGTTGTTATGATTCTCACATTACTCGCTAAACCCTAGACCCTTATAGCGCCCTACACGGAACCTTCGAATGCTCAACGCTATTCCATGTTTTGTACGACTTGATCTCTGCGCGGCAGACCCTAATCTCGTGAATATGGCAACATGAGGGCGCCTAGGTAGCCTGGAAGAAGGTTTTAGTTTAGGATTTAGGGTTTGGGGTTTCCGGTGTGTCTTATTGGTACCCGAAGACTTCGGGAGTACCGTTGCGAACAAGAGCTAGCTGCCGACTACAATCCCCCCAAGCCATCCCTGCGCGGTTCTCAGCCAAAACAAACCTTCAACATGTTTC